GCAAATCCGTTTACAAGATTTTAAATAATCGAAAGTAATATAATAAGTCAAGAAATAACAAAATGGAGGAAATTTATATGAAAATGAAAATGGAACAACCCCCTCCAACCCCTGTTTCGGTATTCATTTTTTTTTTTTTCAATACCATAAAAAAAATTACGACAATTAAATTCCGAAGGTGTTTGTCGAACAACCGAACAAACAACCAACCAAACGCGGATGAATTTTTCAATGCAATTTCATTATTACCATTTAAATGTCAAGCACGCGCACACGCACACGAACACCCGAACAACTTTTTGTTGTACAATAAAAAAATTTTTTTTTTTTTTTTTTTTTCCTCTTCCTTTTTCCCCATGTGATATCTCACAAAGTGTCAAATATTTTCCTCTCTCTCTCTCTCTCTTTCACCTTTGACAATTATTTTTCCTTTTTTTCCGTATTTATTCTATGTGTGAATTCTATTCATGTATTACGTAAAAAAAAAAAAGACCGAAATCAAAAACGAATTCCTTTTTTTTTTTTTTACAATCTCGTTACGCAATCCGACGGTTTTCTCTCTCTCTCTCTCTTTTACTACCACCTACCATCGCCATTTAATAAAAAATATTATTGGGAAATGAGCGAAATACTTTTACTTACGCCTCGCAATATGGATCCTTATTAAATCCTTTGTAATTCCTCATGTTGAGAGTCATTTGACAAACCTGACATTTGAAACATTGTTTGTGCCAAATCTGAAACGAAAACAATAACCGGTAAATTTTTTTTCTGAATCAAAAATATTAATTTTCTACTGCAAGACGAGGGGGGGAGGAGGAGGAGAAGGAAACGAGAGAAAAAATCAATTATTATTATTATTATTGTTATTTCCCATTGTAAAATCGTTTGCCCGTGACGTTTATATTACGATTATTTTTAATTAGAGTCGTTAAAACATTTTCAGGTCTACCAACTTTCGTCGTGCTTTCGTCGGCATTTTTCTTTTTCTCAAATCTTTTAGTGTTTTTGTAAAAGACCGATGCGCAACTCGTTACGTTTCATTTTTTTTACAAAATCAATCAATCAATATTATCGAATCGTTCGATTCGATCGTCTGCATCATACGCGAACGATAACACACGCTTATCAACATACGATTTGAAATATTACGTCATCAAACGCGAACAAGTTTTATTATAGAAAACCCGGGAGGCGATCATCATGATGACGTCATTGTCGTCAAGGGTCGTCCACGCGAAAGGCAAAATAAGTATTAAAAAAAAAAAAAAAAAAAAAAATTTTTTATTAATAAAACTTACATGTGGGAAATTTAGAGGACAAAGAAGGAGTCGGTTTTAACATTGGTTAATTGTTATTGTGATTTTACATGAATTAAAACGAGTTGAATAATAATAATAATAATAATTCTTCTTTTTCCTTTAAATTAACGGATGTAAATAAAATGAACATAAAAATATATAAAGATTTCAACAAAAAAAAATATAAAATTTTCCATTTCCATTAAATCCTGCAGATTTACAAATTTGTCTATTTTTTTTAAAGAGGTTTGTGGTAAACGCGGAAATAAAAAAACTTTTCCAATCATAGATGAAAAATTATCATAGAGTAGGCGGATTCGTTTTCCAATAGGAATGATTAACAAGAGTTTGTTTGTTGTCATATACCAAAGTCACCTTTTTAAGATTTAAACGGGGAGCCAAGCCCGTCGTCGTTTTTGCGTTTGTTTTTTACTTTCTATGGTAAAACGTTATAGTGATCGCGACATAAGACAATCATGCAATTGTTTATTTTTTTTATACGAAAATTAAGTGCGCGACATGCCCCCGAGGGGGGAAGGGAAGGGGAGGAGAGGGGAGGGGGAGCGAAAACCAACTTATAAAAAAATTCGAGTTAGTGCCCTTGCCCTATATAAACTTTTTTTTCTTTACCACACGCAATAAAACGCATATCGTTTATGTTTTTCGAATTTGATAGAAAGAAACAAAGGAAAATTCGACATCGAAGAGAGACAAACCTGAAATGTCAAACAATAAATGAAAGAAAATTGTTACGACGTCCTCAAAATGATAACCTTATCATACGCACACATATATATGGTCGCGCGTGAGTTTTCCTACTTTCTGCAAAAGGCTAAAGGCCATACGTGTAGAAGGTCGAGAAAAGGTGTTCATGTTCTGGATAAACATACTTTATTCTCCCCCCCCTTCTACCCTACCTTCCTCCCTACCGCGTCAAATTTAAATCCTTTTAAATAATAATAATAATAACGCATCGTCCCGATAAGAGAAACGATAACGATTCGTTAGTTGCGTGAGTAAATAACGCGCACGTTGTCAATAATTTTTTCAATAAATCAATAATCACGTACCGCTCTCGATAATTAATTAATTAATTAATTAATTTAGGTCATTAATACGTACCGACGTATATGCGTATAAATAAATAAATAAATAAATCGTTTTATTCGATTATCGACCTATCGAAAACGAATCGAATGAATTGAGGGCGTATCGATTGACCCCTCCTTTCGTAAAATAAACAAACAAAAAAATTTAAACTTCTTCCCTAAAATCGTTTTTACGACAAAATACATCGTTTGTGACATGTAAATGATAATAATAATAACAATATATCGTTTCGTTCGATAAGGCAAATCGATCGATCTCTCGATCGCGATTTCGAATCCAATTCAAATCAATTAATATGCAATGAAAGAATTAATATTATTATTATTCGTACGCGTAAACGTTTTTTTAATATAAATATTTTTTTTGAATAACTCGATCGATAATGTTCGATTTTTTTTTTTTTTAGGGCCTAAACTTTCCCTTCGTTATAAAACGACCGTTAAAAAAAAAAAAAAAAAACGTGCGGTTTAATTTTATTACCTGCGCGGCATTATCACACCCCCCCCCCCAAAAAACGTATATTAAATCCATGTTAATTCAATAAAAATAGTTTTTGTTCGCGTGGGCGTACGTACGTACGTGCGTGCGTGCGTGTGCTAAAATTTTAGTCTTTTTCACATTCAAATTTTTTTTAACGCCTTTTTTTTTTTCTTTTAGAAAACAATTGTCTACACAAGCATAAATTAAAAATTTCATTAGCAAAATTAAGAGAAAAAAAAAAAATGATGGCAACGACACGAATACACTCTGATTAACTCCTACAACGTTTTTTATCTCTCTCTTTCTCTTTCTCTCTCTCTCTCTCTTTTACTAATGAAAATTGATAATTATCTCATTAAAAAAATTGAAATTTAAAAAAAAAAAAAATTGGGAAAAATAATTTTCCCCTCTTTTCTTTTTTTTTTTGTCTATTTGCAGAGAGAGAGAGAAAGAGAGAGATAGAGATAGAGAGAAAGAGAGAGAGAGAGAAAGAGAGAGAGAGAGAAAGAGAGAGAGAGAGAAAGAGAGAGAAAGAGAGAGAGAGAGATGAGAGAAAGAGAGAGAGAGAGATCGGGAGAGAGAGAGAGAGAGAGAGAGAAAGAGAGAGAGAAAGAGAGAGAGATAGGGAGAGAGAGAGAGAGAGAGAAGAGAGAGAGAAAGAGAGAGATAGAGATAGGGAGAGATAGAGATAGGGAGAGAAAGAGATACAGAGAGAGAGAGAGAGAGAGAAGGGAAAGCAAATATTAAAAAGTTACTATGTGTGTGTGTGTGTGATAAAAAACAGATAATTAAAAAAATTATTCGTTTACAAACTGAAAAAAAAATTTTTTTTTTTCTTCTTTTTTTCAAGAGTTTCATGTGATTCGATAAATTTTATGTTTTTACACACACACACTCATCAAAGAAAAAATATTCACATGAATCAAATGCGATAAGAAGAAGAATAAAATTTTAAATTAATTAATTAATTTAATATTAACTATTTATTGCGACATGAAGATAAAAGAATTTGACAAAATATATATAAATGATTGAGTAATGACATTCGTTGTGTGAACTATTAATGAACATATAATTAATTTAAATAAAATAAAATAATAATAAAATTCACTATAGATAACTTTCTAATATTTGTGGTGACCATCAATGTTACGACAAAAATTTTTTTTCGGATGACATTTAATTTGACATTAAATAACAAAACCAGTAAGAGAAACTTTTTTTTTTTTTCGGATGTAACAAAATATATATATAATAAACTTTAACTTTTTCTACCGTCACCATAACAGGAAACAATAAAATGAAAAAAAAAAATTAAATGGATTCATGAGGATGTAATAAGTGTTTAAAAATATGTATAACCTTGCTAAGGATTTTAAATCTCAAAAGACCTTCACTTCAACATTCACAGTCATGATTCTTCTAACATTTCTAAATTTAATTAAATGGCAAATAATAAAAGTAATAATTTTGCACCAAAATTTTTAAATTGTTGCAAAATAACGAAAGAAACAACAAGACAATCAAATTCGATACAAATAAATTATAAATTTTGATAAAACATACCTTTAAATACCTGAATTAAATACCTGAACACACACATACGAACAATATCAAAAATTATTTAATTAAATAATCCAAAAAAAAAAAAAAAAAAATTATATTTAATTTAATTTGGAATTTTCAATTGGTAAACCTGACAAATAATAATTTAAACCATTTTCTCTCCCTCTCTCGCTCACTCACTCACTCTCCCTCATTCTATCTCTTTCTCTTTCTTTCAATTACAAATATTTACAATATTTAACTAATCAGTAAAATTATTTATAAAAAAAAAAAAAAATCAGATTGATAAGTAATCGGTTTTTTTCATTCCCAACCATGACATCATCAATTAAAAAACAAATAAATGGGAATATCATCATTATTATTATTATATATAAAAATTAAATTATTATTATTATTATTGTTGTTAAAACATTTATATGTATTTTGACGTTTAGTTAACCAAACTTTTTCCATATGCCCTTTACGATAAATAATAAAGTTAACATTTTGCAACCTAATTAAACCGAAAAAAATAAATAAATAAATAATAATAATAATAATAATAATTCGTATTCTTTTTTTTTTTTTCTATGTATTATTTTTACCTTGTCTAAACATTTTAATTCCTCAATTGGATACACAGTTTTTTCACATCTCGCGCACGTTTTCACCATTTCCGATATTATTATTTTAAAACTCTCCAATAATTAAATAAAATAATTATTAAATCTATCAGAAACTTTTTTCTAACATATATATTTTAACATAAATACGCGAGAGAGAGAGAGAGAGAAAAAAAAAAAAAAAGTAGGACAACGAGACTTTTATGAATCACACACAAGTAAATATATATATATAATAATCTCTACCGTCGTCTCTTGTACGTTTTCTCGCTCAACTAGTGCTGCCACCTTATGAAATTAAAAAAAACATGGAACCCATGGTAGGAGTGGGATGTTTAAAACCGTTTGCCATATTTCACGTTTAATTTTTGTGTCATTTTTAAAATAAAATTACGTAATATTTTTGTCTCTGATTCAAACCCCCCCTCCTTCCCCCTCCCTCCCCAATTATTATTAATAATATTAATCAAACGTTGATGTAATAAATCTCAACAAACAAAACAAATACTTGTAAAATATTTCTCAAAGTTATTTCATTGAAAAAAAAATAGATGTAGTTATAATAATAATAATGATAATAACATATTAAAAACACATTTGTTTGAAATTTTCTTTTCAACTATTAAAAACTATTTAAAAAAAAAAAAAGAATGAATATAAAATAGTGAAGAATAAAAGAAACTGTTAAAATGGCCGTAAGTAAGGAATTCCTTAAGGGTACAAACAAATTATTATGATATAACAACCATTAGAAAACAACAACAACAACAAAACTTGCTAATTCAGCTCAGATAAAAAAACAAAACACTTGGATATACATGGTATAGAAAAAAATATATATATATATGTATTAGTGTAATCTGATTCGATTTGACAACAAACACAAACAAACAACAACCAAAAAATAATAATAATAATAAAAGATTGTTTTCTAATATACCTTGGAAGAAACAACAACAGTTAATTTATGTTAGAACCCAAAAAAAAAAAAATTTCTTTTTCTATTTATTTATTCTGCGTACCTTAAATAAAAACCAACGACATAAACCTTCTTCCCCCCTCCCTAAAAAAAAAAAAATTATTTATAAAAAAAAAATAAAAACCTTAAATTTAAATCATCATCAAAAACAACAACAATAATAATAATAATATTTTAAATCAGGTTTAAAAACGAACGAACGAGATTACAAAAAGTTTTATGGTTGAAAGATTGTCAGGTACAAATTTTTTTTTTTTTTTATGAGTTACATAGAGAAAACCCCCCCCCCCATTAATAACCCCAAATGGTAATCAACAAACATTTGTTTACGCATTTTGTTGTTGTTGTTGGCAAACGAATCATCGACCTTCGATTCCAATTTTTTTTTTTTTTTTTCAAACAGATTATTAAATATGAAAAATAATAATAATAATAATTCCGCCATTTTTATAATTATTAAAATTTGTTTTATTACCGGTCATTTGGTTATTTACCGGTGGTACTCTTTTGATCTACTTAATACCAACTAAAATGTAATGTAACCGTTTGTATGTATAAAAAAAAAAAAAATCTTGAACATACAACTAACGCGCTCTCATATTTCATTCCCACCTTGATTCTTTCTTACTTACTTATTATTATTATTATTTTCAGGTTTAGAATTTCAAATCAGGTTTTTTTTTTTGAATCTGGCTAAATTGTTTTACATTACGATTGAAATCATGGTTCATGATACGAATGGTATAGACAAATATTTTTTAAATATTATTATTCGAATGTTAAAAAAAAATAAATTATGGAATCCATTTTGTTTTTTTTTTCGTACCTAACTATTTCCGGTTCATTATTTAAAAAATAATTCTCGTAAAACTTACTTAAGAAAAAAAAAAATTTTTTTTCTTCTCCTTCTTATTTAAATCAAAAGAATAAAATAATAATAATAATAATAAATTTTATTACCTGGTATGAAAGTAGTAGAAGATGTAAAAAACCTTATTTTTTTTTTTTTTTAAATTAAAATCGACGACTCCGAACCTGAAACAAAACAAAAAAAGGTATTCGATCTTTATGGTTTTATTTAAATGTGTATATATTTTAAAATAAAATAAAATAAAATAAAAATTTTTTTTGTCTTGTTTTGTGTGTGTGGCGCATTCGCAAATGGCGACGACGCCTCAAGCATCATCCTTTTAATTTTTTCTTTTTTTTTTTTTTTCTTTTTTTTTTCGCAATTAATTATTTTGCTAATTTTAGTTGCTTTTAAAATTTTTCGTGAGTTGACGTGTACAAAATTTTTTTATTTTTCTATTTTTTTTTTACACGCATTTCCAATCAATGAATGATAATAATAATAATAATAATAATAATAATAATGAAAACTTTTCGTTATAAATAAATACATTTCCATAGTACGCGATTCCATTTCGTTTTTGTGAGAAAATAATTTGAAAAATAATAAAAAAAAAAAAAAAACGCGGGAATTTTTATTTTAAGGTACGGTAGGTATTACTAATTATTATTATTATTATTATCATTCTTTAATTTTTTTTATATGGTTTATTATTATTTAAATTTAAACCGTAAGAAAATCAAACGACTTTTATATATCACATAAAAATCATAAAAGATTTACTTAATGATAAATATTATCATTATCATTACGATTATTATTATTATTACTATAATTATTATTATCATTATTATTATTTAAATATTAATAAATGACGATTTTTAATAAACGTAATGATTATTATTATTATTATTATTATTATTATTATTATATTATTAATATTTTTAATTGTTTACTTTTTAATTTTTATTAGTTTTTCTACGTAACAACTTTTTCACTCTCTCTCTCTCTCGCTCTATCTACTTATCTTTCTCTCTCTCTCTCTCTCGCTCTATCTACTTATCTTTCTCTCTCTCTCTCTATAAAAATACCGTTACGATATTTAAATGGCAACCAAAATATATATGTAAAATAATCACACATAAAAACGTATGAATTAAGTTTTTTTAACATTTTCCATACCTGAATTTATGTACCTAAATTATTATCATTATTATTATTATTATTATTATTGAACTAGCTCGTTTGAAATTATTACTCCGTAAATATTATTATTTATTATTATTATTATTTCCCCCTCCCCCCTATACTATTTTTGTGAAAAAATTTGTTTTTTTTTTTTTTCTGTCTTTAACCAAATAACGAAATTCTTGTTGTGATTTCCCTCCCATCTCCCCCCCCTCTCTTCCCCTCTCCTCCCCTCCAAATAAGTTGTGCTAAAAAACTAATAATAATAATAATAATAATAATAATAATAATAATAATTTTTTGCTGTTATTGAATTTTTAACGTCTTTTCAGGTATTCACTCGGTAAAAATGAAATCATTTTTTTTAAAAAACAGGGGGAGGGGGAGAGGAGGGGAGGGGCATTCGATACATTTTTTATTTAAGGTAAAAAATTTATCGTCATCAATTATTTGTGTGGCGCTCGATGATAAAATCAAAAATCATAATAAAAAAATAATAATAATAATAATAATTATTTCCTTTTTGTTTTTGTTTTTCGTTGTCAAATTTAAAAAAAAAAAATTTTTTTTAAGGGAAGGTTAAAAAAAAAAAAAATTTAATTTCATCCCTCTCGTTCATTTCAAACGACAAACAAACATTGATATTATTATTATTATTATTATTTTTACCCCGATTTTAACTTTCGAATGTTATTTTTTTATTTTTTTTTTTTCTACTGCTCGAATAGAATATAATTCCATATTCGAAACAATGTTTTTTGTTGTTGTTGTTGTTGTTAATCTTCTCCAGGAATTTCTCCTCACATCGTTCCAGCAACAAAAACGATTGAAACGAATAATTTTTTTTTTTTTTTTTTTAAATAAAATTAATTATTAATATGTCGATCGTTGTTGATGACGTCATTTTTATGATTCAAATTTTTACATACACATTAACCGATAAATAATAATAATAATAATGATAATAATATAATATGGAAAATGTCCGACCATTTATATACATAGATTTTAATTTAAGTAAAAAAAAAATAATAATAATAATATTTGAACTTACGGTACATAATCATGAGTAATAAATTAAAGATGGCTAACAACTTTGGCCTTCGATATTAAATGAATTGAAGGAAAAAAAAATTTCGTAGTTGAATATTTCGTATTAATCACCTGCAACAAAAAAATATATATATATATTATTGATTTTGTTTATTTTTAAATGTCGTTTCGTTTTGTTTCGTTTCATTTTTTTTTTTAAATTATTAATTTCGTTTTATGTAAGATATGTACCTACGTACGTACACTAACATAAACAGGATGTATATTTAACCGTAAAATAATAATAATAATAATAATAATAATATAATTAATACAAAAGTTTTTTTATAAAAATACGTTTTTACATAATTATTAGTATACGACCGTATAACCGGTTTTCGATATAGAAAAAAGAAATCTCGTGAACTGAAATATCATTATTATTATTATTATTATTATTATTATTATTAAACATCGATTGTTTTTTTTTGGGGTCCGACTACAAAGAAAATTCAAATCTGCCATTTTTTTTTTTTTTATTTCTACTACGTCACGATTAAGAAAGAAATGACGTAAAAAAAAAAGAAAATTATTTTAATGGAATCGACCGAAAACTTTTTTTTTTTTTTAAATAAAATAAAATAAAAATGGATGAAGGTGAAATGTGAGGGTTAGGGGGTTGGGAGGGAGTAATCAATGAAGAAGGAAAACGGAGGGGGGGGATAGGAGAAAAAGAAATGTAAAAGTCGTCCAAAAACTTAAAAAAAAAAAAGAAATTTAAAAACCCCCCCCCCCAAAAAGGAAAAAGGAAAAAGTCCAGACGAATCAATACTGCTTCAACTTTCGGGAGAAAGAGGCGATTTATTATTATTATTATTATTATTATTATTATTATTATTATTATTGTATAGAATGAGAAGAAGAAGAAGAAGAAGAAAAGGAAAAAGAAGAAAAAGAAATAATTGGAGAACGAATGAATTGACGGATTTAAAAATAACTTTTTTTTTTTTTTTTTTTTTTTTTTTTTAAAAAAAAAAAAAATTAAAAAAACCCAAAAGGGCGGGTAAACGTAATAATAATGCGTTAACGAAGAGAGAGATAGATAGATGGATAGATAGATAGATATATAGAGATAGATAGATAGATAGATAGAGAGAGATAGATAGATAGGGAGAGAGAGATGGGGGAGAAAGAGAGAGAAACTAATAATAATTAATAAAATTTATTTTTTAAACATAATTTTCTTGCAAAATTTTCTTTTTTTTTTTTTTTTCTTCCATCCAAACAATAATAATAATAATAATAATAGCGAGGTGTATTTTTTTTTT